CACATAACTTTCTTGTTTTTAAGTTTATTTTTATGAAGGCAAGAACAAATATCTTCAATACTTGGCAAGACATTCTGAGATTGAGAAGCATTATGATCAAAAGCAAGTAGAACTTATAATCTATATGCTAGAACTTGCCCCAAATGTCTTTCGAGGCGAAATCCTAGACAACACTGATTTTTGAAATATGAATTTAGGCTTTCTTTGTTTACCTCAGTCTTTTCTAGATATTGCACAAAAATTTACTACAAAAAAAAAACAATCCCTAGCACCTATTTTGAAGCTTGAAGACCTAATTTTTTCTTTTGATACCTAAGTATGCCCAAATTCAAATATCACATTCATGCTTATGATTTGAAAAGTCCTTTTTCATAAAATAAGTTTGGAGCTCATTTTGAAAAAGAATCAGAATTAAAGAAAAGAAAAAAAAAGGGAGAGATTGACCTTATGTTCAAGCATTATAAGTACAAAAAAAAAATCAATAGCAAATATTTGGAAAGTCTGATCTTAGAAATATTCTGCTCCAAAACTGGAAAAAGGCAAGTCACTACAAATATAACCTTTAACCTACCAGCCTGAAGCCAACATTACAAGCCAGAAAAAGTCCTAAAAGATTTTAGAAATCAGTGTTTAGTCTACATTAGTGGAGATAGACATAAAGGGCAAGCCTATGGACAAAGATGAGGAATACTCAATGCAAATGATCATAAAGTTATCAATTTCAGAGAAGTCTCAAAAAGAAAGAAGGTACAATTTTTGTTGAATAAAAATAAAAGTAAAAACAAGGTAAAGATTTGATGAATATAGAAAATTTATAAAGTTTGAAAGCATGATAGATTTTATTTGATTAAATTTTTATTTTACAAGATTCGCCATAATTTAAAAAAAAAACAAATATAGTAACATATCTTTTCAAAATTCTTTTCCTCGAGGACGAGCAAAAATTCAAGTGTGGGGGTATTTGATGGATATAAATTATTCATATATTTTAATATAAAAATATAATATTTTACATATAAAACATGACCAATTTATATCCTATTCTCGCGCTTTTCTAACAATTCGTGCAGGAAAAAGAATACATGGAAAAAGAGAAAAAGAAAGATCTACGGTTCAAGGAAGAAGGATGCATCCGAGATAACTTCATCTAAGACTTTATAAAATCAAGAGATACAAAAGTTATGGCAAATTCTCACCAAAATTTCATGACAAATTGCCATGTCAATTTCTCATCAAGGCCATATGATATATTATTATTATATTGCTATTTCTTACCAAGGCCTTGTAGGAATTTTCCTATAAATAGCCATATGTTTGTAGATGAAAAAGGCATCCCTCTTTGTATCCAATTTTCTATCTAGTTTTTTCTAAGTTTCTAAAGAGAAAGAGAAGAGTAATCTTGGTCTCTTCCTCTAATATTTCTCTTTGTAGTAAAAATATTCTTAGTCTTTTGAAAGTATTTTTTAGCTTTTCTTACTTCATAA